GCTCACTCCGAAGCAGGTAATCTCTCGACCCTCGACTCATCAGCGTCCTTCGTGCTTATTTTACACACTGGAAGCCATTAGGTGTTGCTCGAGACGGCAACACTTGCTCTAGAGAGATTTTCTTTCACCAAATTCTGGTACGCCCGCGACGTTGTACCCAGATTCGAAGCCCAATAGCCGTGTTTTTCATTCAATTATTCTCCACCACACCAATGCTTGACGCGAAAGCAGTAAGAAGGCGTCTATGACGGTTAAAGCATCAGACTGGTACCATCCACCCGTTCCGTCACGCAAAGAACTCACACATCAATCTCCGTTTTGGGAGACTTCTCTCACCAGGACCCGAATGATCTGACGAACGAAAGGGCTTGTCTTTTCACGGCGCTCGGTTCAACACACGAATGAGCAGAAACGTCTCTTTCAGTAGTATGCCTATTTGTGAAAATGTTCAAGCAGAAGACTCACAAGCCAGACCTCAGCAATCGCGCAGGACTTGACCGAGACCGTTAGGGCGGTCGCCGAATTCTGTTTTCTGCATAGCGAGTTCATCCACAGACCCGCCGTTGTTTAGACGCACCGCGACGACGGCGCTAGCGATCGTCAGAACAGAAGACATTATACCTCTGCCGTGCATCCTTAGGAAGCTATGTGAACAGTGAGTTCCAATCTTTAAGACCGCTAGCCGCACAAGATATGAGTTGATTTTGAATTTCCCTTGTGGGGAACTGCAAATGAGATGAAATCGTATGGTGTAATCAGCATAATACATGGAAACTTGTCTAAGCTTCAAAACTATTGGTTCTTAGAATCCAACCTGGCATAAGGCTAATCATAGATGAATAAGAGACTAATGTGGCAGGTCAAATAGTTTTAATTGTCATGAGGTTAGCTGACAAGGCCGAATGAATTCTCTACAATGCACTATACCCCAAAGCTCAAACCCTCCGCGCGCTTCAAGGAGGTGGTACCTACGTTCCGCACCACTCCAACAACTACTCACCTTCATGGCAGTTACTCACGCCTACCTCACTGTACCTCGAGAATGACCTTCTGGCGGGCATGAACATTGACTTGCACGTTTTCATTTCGCACTTTTACCTTCGAGTGACATTGACATGAAACTCGCGCTGGAAGATCACCTTACTTCCTGTCCCCCGGCTTTGAGTTCCAATACCTCTGTATTATCAAGAGAGATAATTCAAAATGGTATTTATACCAGAGAGTATCGGAGGTATAAGTTTTATTTTGAATTATCTGTCGACAGGGCTCACCGCCCCGGAATGGGGCGGAGTCACGAGATTTCCTCTCGTGACGAAACCCGGATGAGGCCATCCAGGTTTTCGGCGTTCCTGGAGCGGTGGCCCTCCCCCACCCACCCACGAGGTGCGCAAAGTGGGACGCGTTACCGCGTCACGCTGTCGTCAACGTTAACCCTTGAACGGCAACACCGATGCACGCAGCGAGCTGTGGCACGAAGCCTCTGACCCGCCCAATAGATTAGATCTATAGATTAGATCTTAATTAACTGTAAACCATGCTTAAAACATATTATAAAGTTTGCGAACTATTACTGAGATGTTAAAAATTTTTTAAGGAATAAAAGGAGAAGCGCAGAGAAGGAAATGGTAAGGTGGCACCCACCATTGTTTGCCATTGTCGTCAAAGGGTTAAACATTGAATTTAAAGGTCTTCTTCTAAGATAGACATGTTGAGGGATGGAATGCCATGAACTAACTCGGCTCCATATCCACAAGCTGTCGATTTTGGGTTCCAGCACAGGTCTTCAGTTGTGGAGAGAGGTCGTTCACCGTGACGCGTAAGTGCTGCAAAAAATTTCTTCGTAAGCTTTGAGCAGGTTCTCCGACGGGACTGTGAGGGAGTGATGTTTATACGAAGAGGTCTTGCTCTCTCTGCTCTCTCGAAAGGACTGCATTAATTTTTTCACTGGATTGAATTAGGTAACTTTCAATTGACCGCTCGTGGGCGCTGGTAAGGCCAGGGCTGGTGTTTTTGCAGTGCTGTAATTTACCTTTGATTTATCAACTCCCCTCTCTGCTGAAACACGAATGGTCCGAATAGGGTCAAGTGTGCGTTGAGGTATTTTCCACAGGTCAACAGGAGTAGGGGTCCTATTTCTCTCGCGGGGAGGAAGGGATCGGTCCAGATCGATGCAGCGTCATCACTGTCGGAGAGAGGACCCAAAAAACACAAACATCAAGGAGTGACCGACAAGTGCAAGCCTTGTCAGAGGATTTCCGATAACAATGTTATTGACATAAAACTACACATAAAATATTCGTGGTTCAAAGGGGTTCGCGAGCTTGTAGGCTACCTCAGCGCTTTATCAGGACAAGGCGGGAAAATTCGATCTAAGTGGTTTCAATCTGTTGCGCACGTTTCATATGGTTCCCGGAAGGAAAAATTCCGATTCAGGAAAAATTAAGAGTATTCTAGAAGGTGCCATGTAAAATGACAGGAAGAAATCCACTATTTACAAGGAAATGTAGTTTTCAGCTCAATGTTACAGCCTATAATCGTAGCGCAAACTCGTGACATATAACCGACGTTCCATTCGTGTATTTTCAGCAGACAGTTGGTTTAGTGCCAACGATAACTTCGCCGTCAAACCCAGCTGGCAGTAGCGACTTCCCGTGCAAGAACCTATGTGAAGATAGCCACCGTCAACGTCCAAGGCCTTCTCAACAGAGACTCCCGAGTTTTGAAGTCAATGACAAGAACGTGCTAGTTGCTGTATGGACTGGCCGAAACTCAGCGACCAAACCATGAATGCACTCATCTTGCATCTGCTTTTGTACTTCACAACAGTGGGCGTTGCGACAATGTCTCCACGTGTGCTAGCGTAGGGATGTATATGTCTTTTCGTATGAACAAGAGGCCTGCTGACATTCGTTGCAAAAGACGTCTTAGCTTTATTCAAGTTCACTCCCAATCTGAGCGGCATCAGACGACGAGTTCGAACGATTCCTCGACGAAAAAGAAGCTTAAACACAGCAGTCCTAGATTTCATTTGTGGCGATTTCAATGTAATCGTTCGGAGTCCAGAAAACAGATATCCTGCCTGCGAACCTTTTGGAACTGGTAACCGAAATGAACGAAGTGTGTCACTGCTTTCTTCTGCGACGCAAATAGCCTTATCGTCTCCAACACATCTATTTCACAGGGCATAAAATAGAAGAGTAAGGATCACCTCAAACTTTTTCATGCGCTTGCAATTACTTGAACCAAGTAGACCTTCAAAAGAAATCGACACCATCTAGCGTTTCTATGGAACAAGGCACACGATGAAATTGGTGCGAAGTTCTTGCCAGCTGAGCTGCCCAGAGATCATTGCGTTTGGAAAGTGCCACCTAGAGTTCCCACTCAAATCTACTGGTTTACGCTGTACGAAGTGTGGTGAAGACGAGCACCTGCTGCTGACATCATGGAGACGTCAATGGATTCAAGAAATCGCTTCATAATGCCTGAACGCATTCAAGGCCGTCTATCAACACGCCACATCAGCTGATTTCCTGGGAGACCTCACTCCTTTTCGAGGTGGCTTCCTTGAAGGATCATATGGTTTTTGTTTATGCTCCTTCAAGCAAAATATTTTTGTTCTTCACTTGCTTACCTTCAGTTGTGGCAGGGATAGCCGAGTGGTTAAGAGGTTAGACTCATGTCTGCACCTCTGAAAACCGCGAGTTCGATCCCTGCCGAGGTTAACCATGCCTTGCAAAAATTGCAAATGGTTCTAGTACCAGCGTCAGGCCCAGGTTGACAGGCCGGCTGATGAACACCCCAGTCACACCAAACATGTCTAAAAGTCGCAAAAGAATCAGTGTTAATGCTAGGACGTCACCCGGAAGTGGCGCGCAGAACCCCCGCCCG